TCCAGTCCCTCAAAAAGAGTATTATAGAAAACAATACATCTCTTCTCTTAATACAGGAGAGATCAAGGATACGCTGGACTCTCGGGAGTTTGGGACAGTTGTTAGCCGCTGTGTGAGTGCTAGAAATTGAACCCGGGACATCTGCAGGAACAACTGGTGTTCTTAACCGCTGAGCCATCTTTCCAGCTCCTTATTTATTATTTTTATTTATTTATTTTTTGGTCTTTTTGAGACAGGGTCTCCCTGTAGCTCCAGCTGCATGGAACTTGTTCTGTAGACCAGGCTGGCCTTGAACTCAGAGATCCACCTGCCTCTGCCTCCTGAGTGCTGGGATTAAAGGCGTGCACCACCACACCCGGCTATTATTTTTATTTTATGTGTACAAGTATATTGCCTCCATGTATGTGAGTGCACCTGTGTTGTGGAATGACATGGAGGTCAGAACAGGGCGCTGGATTACCCTGGAACTGAAGTTATAGATGGTTGTTAGCTGCCATTGTGGGTGCTGGGAATTGAACCTGGGTCCTCTGCAAGAGCAGCCAGTGCTCTTAACTGCTAAGTCGTCTCTCCAGACACTGTTGTTTTTTGAGACAGGGTCTCCTTATAGCCCCAACTGGCCTGGATCTCACAGAGATCCACCTGCCTTTGCCTCCCGAGTGCTGGGATTAAAGGGTAGGGCACCACGCTCAACTGGAACAAAACAGATCTTAAATAGTTCTAAACAAATGAATTAAAGATACAGCTTATTGTCTGGTGAGGTCTATGAGGGCTCAAGATAGCAACGCCTTGAACATCAATGAGTAATTGGCAAGACATGAAAGAAATTCCTTTGGGGTCATCTTTACGCAAACTTAGGCTCTCTTTTCTCAAATTATATTAGATAAGAGGAAACATATGACATTATTCAAGGAAGCTTATGAGAGCCCCAACCCTCATTAAAGATTCTTGAAAATGATATAACTATTACACATGCAAAAATAATTTTAGAGCTGGGTGTACATCCCTATAATTACAGTACTGATGAGAGTCAGGATCTAGAATCTACAGTTAAAGGTCAGCCTAGATTACACAGCAAGACACAGACTCAAAGAAAAAAAATCTCCCTAATAATGATTTCTCTTTCTAAAAATTTACTTTTTATTTTATGAGTATTTTGCCTGCATGTTGTAAGCACACCTCGGTGCACACAGAGGCCAGAAGAGAGCACTGGATCAGATGACTGTAAGTTGCCATGTGGTGCTAATTGAACTGAGTCCTCTGAAACAGAAATGTCAGTGCCCTGCACGATGACTCCATAACTCACTACCTGGGGTGGACAGAGCTTCTGAGGGCATCTGGAGGGCAAACATCCAGTTCCTGCCCATTCCTCAGGGAGCACTAGCTCTCAATGTCAGTCTGAATTCCCACATGTAGCTGATGAAGGCAACATCTTTAGCTGTGCTTTAATTTTAATGATCTTGTTTAGAATGTTGGCAAATGAAAAAAAATTCCTTTGGCTAACTGAAACCCTAACAAACTTGGACAGAACTGACACGTACCCACACAAAGAAAAATATTGAACTGGAAGTAAAAAGTTTACAAAGATGTGAAAACAAGTGGAACACAGACCAGAACATAATAAACATTTTAAAATAGATCTGAACGAGAACTCTTCCAATTAGTACGGCACTTAATCACAGCAGAAACCCCCAGAAAACCTGGAAGTTGTTAGCTATTAACTACTACACACACTAAGACTGCCTGGTAGAACAATTTGGGGTTATTTTTTAAAAATATTTTATTATTTTTATGTGTATTCATGTATTGCCTGCATGTAGGAAAGTACACCCGTGTTGTGCAATGCCTGCAGAGGACAGAAGAGGCTGTCAGATCCCCTGGAACTGGAGTTACGGACAGTTGTTAGCTGCCATGTGGGTGCTGGGATTCAAACCTAGGCATCCTGTAAGAACAGTCAGTGTTCTTAACCACTGAGCTATCTCTCCAGGCCCCAGTTTCTTTTTTCAAAACATCCAATTTTTCACATACAATTAAAACAAACCTCCATTAAAAAAAAAAAAGGTTGGGCATGGTAGCGCACGCCTTTAATCCCAGCACTCAGGAGGCAGAGGCAGGTGGATCTCTGTGAGTTCAAGGCCAGCCTGGTCTACACAGTGAGTTCCAGGACAGCTGGGGCTACAGGGAGACCCTGTCTCTAAAAGACCCCCCGCCAAAAAAATCATGAATTAGGTGTAGTAAGTGGCAGGAAGATCAGGCGGTCAAGACCAGTTTATGTTACATGAGACCCTACCTCAAAACATTAAAAAAAAAATTGCAAATATTTTCTAAATTAGCTATTTCCAACTCTGAAATTCAATAGTCTTATTTTTTTCTCTCATCAAGTTTTATTTTTAAAAATTTTAAATAATTTTTTATTTAATAACATGATTAGAAGCATTTCATCAGTGTTCTTAATTTTAAGAACTCAAAATACCTAAAGACAGTACTATTCCTATTAACAAATAAGGTTAAATATCATATAGATTATGTTGAGTCATAATCTAAATTTCTGTATCATTCCCAAGCCCCCACCCCCCAACATGCTATTAAAAGATGATCCTGGGGAGATGGATGTGGTGGTGCAGGCCTTTAATCCCAGCACTCAGGAGGCTGAGGCAGGTGAATCTCTGAGTCTGAAGCCAGCCTGGTCTAGCGAGCTCCAGACCAGTGAGGGATACATAGACTGTTTCGAAGGAAAAAAACAAAACAAAACACCCTACTAGCGAGGGGCTGGAAAGACAGCTCAGCAGATAAGGCAGCTCTTTCGAAAATATGAGGGCCTGAATTCAGATCTCCAGCACCCTCATAGAAGCCATGAGGATAGCTATGCATGCATGAGGGGTGAAGATGGGCTGGCTGGCTAGCAAGTCTAGGTAAAGTGGGCCTCAGGTTCAGTGGAAAACCCTCTCTCATGGGAATAGGTTGGAGAGCTATAGAGGCAGACATCCAATGTCCACCTCTGGCCTTTTTGCACATCTGTACATAGATGCATATACCACACATACATGGGGGCGGGGGTGGGTTGGGGGACAGACAGGCAGATAGACAGACTGACTGGGTAACAGCACAGTACACTGTTTGTCACTCAAGTATGAGGATCTGAGTTTGCTCCCCAGAACCTGTGTAGAAAAGGCTGGAAGATGCACACTCATGGTCTCAGCTGAGGAGGTGGAGACAGGCAGATCCCCGGGCTCCAAGGGCCAATCAGTCTAGTATAATCGGCAAGTTCCAGGCCAAGTGTGAGACTCTTCTCAAAATACCCAGGAGATGGCTCCTGAGGAATAATACCTGAAGTACTGTTCTCTGGCCTCTAGATGCGCGCATGCACAAGTGCACACACACACAAAAGACACTAGGTTCCTATTACTGTACGGAATTGGGTAAGTTCCTTAATCTCATCTAAGAAACAGATATTCAAATAGCAGACTTTAAAATTGTTGTGGGGATTAAATAGTTTAATACATGTTTAGAACTGCATATGGCACTTAGTAAACTCCTATAAATGTCCCCAAATACCAATCTAGAAAAAATAATCTCTGCTGACAACACAGATTCAAGACTATCTTTTATTAGAGAGGGAAAAAATGCACACTATCCATAACCACTTTCATCAGGCAAAATCTTCACTCAGTTTTAGGTATTTTCCCTCCAACCTCAATAAAGTGATATATGCATTAATAGACAGGGTCTCACATCTGGTCTCAATCTCTCCAAGTAGCAGAGGATGAACTTGATCCTCCAGCCTCCACCTCCTGAATACTGGGAATTACAGTCATGCTGAGTTTAAGGAAAGTAACTTAGTTCTATTTTGTTTTGTTACTTTTTCCTTTGTGGCTCAGGCTGTCCTGGAATTAGGATTCTCCTGCCTCTGTTCTCCAGTGCTGGGATTACAGGTATGAACCAGCACACCCAACTTTAAAGAGCGTTCCATCCAGTTCACAATTTTGGGTGGTGTAACTTCTACATTACTTGATATAAGCCAAACACCTATTACATCTCAACTCTGTAATGTGTTTTGTGGATGAAGAGGTTTTAAAAAATATACAAGAAATACGTAAGAAATGCTAAGCCAATGTTGAAAAATAAAAGAATGCTTTCAGAACAAAATGTTTCTACAATCTTCACCACTACTGAGGCCAAAGTGTATTTTAATTCAGTGTATAACTATCTGCAAAATTTAATAAAAATAGCCTTTGGCGTAATCTTTTACAAGTTTTTTTAACTTTTAGGGGAGACTAGTATTTCAGCAATCTCTAAGGGCAGAGTTCAGGAAAGTATACCATAAATTCCCCAGGCCTCTGCTTTCCCACGCATGGCAAGTTTTAGATGGGCAGAATGACTCTGGACCTGTAAAACCTCAGAGGAGCCTGCCACTCTTCCCCATCCATCATATCATCCAAGACCACAACTTAGAGGTGGTGGGGCAAGCGACAGGGGTGATAATCCTGTGTGTGCTTTAAAGATCCTCACAGGACCAGGGTGGAGCTCAGTGACAAAGCACTTGCTCTGGGTCCCACTCCCAGCACCACATACAAAACAAAGCAGCTTCTCAGCCTATTTAAAAATCTGATATGGAGCTGGGGAGATCTCAGTGGTTAAAAGCACTGGCTGCTCTTGCAGAGAACCTGATTTGGTTCCCAGCACCCATCTGGTGGCTAACAACTACCTCTAACCCCAGCTTCAGGGGGATCAAATGCCCTCTTCTGGCCTCTTCAGGCATTGCATGTACAGGCGCACATACATGAACACAGGCAAAACACTAATACATATAAAATAAAAAATAAAATACGTTTTTAAAAAATGTAATAACACTAAATTTGACTGGAATAAGGCAAAAGCTCCGTGTGACTAGAAAAATCTCATATGAGAAGTATGGAGGTGTTTTTTTCCCCCTGTAACTAGAATATTTTATAAGATAAGGACTTGAAAGTGACCTGATACTCTTTGGCTCCCTTTCCTATTGGAGCTCAACACTGGTCTTGGTGGTCTTAGGAAGGAAGAGTTTACTGAAGTTCGCCTCATGGCTCTGTAGGCTGGTTTCAGCATGTAGGCTAGATTCAAACAGGACTGGATTCTCTTTGTAAAATGGGATAATTTGAGGATTAAAGATGAATGTGAGGCTCTAGCAAGCTGCAACCATTGCTTGCCTTTGAGAATTTGTTTTTTTGTTTTTTTTAAACTATGTAACCAGTAAAGGGGCCTCATCTGTGATTATTTGTCTGAAGTTGGAAAAATGTTGAAGGAAGGAAGGAAGGAAGGAAGGAAGGAAGGAAGGAAGGAAGGAAGGAAGGAAGGAAGGAAGGGGCAGACAAACAGACAGCTCTCTTAAGTAGAAATTTTTGGCTAATGCTATTTGATATATGCACCTGTAACTCAATTGATAGACTTTTTTTGAAATTGAAAAGTAACTTAATGAAAAAAAAAAACTTCAAGTGAATTCAATGTATGCATCAAATAAATATTTGAATTGAAAAAAATCTCTCATACAGTTGATTCTTCAAAATACCTTCTTGAGCCGGGTGTAGTGGCGCACGGCTTTAATTCCAGCACTTGGGAGGCAGAGGCAGGCAAATCTTTGTGAGTTTGAGGCCAGCCTGGTCTACATAGTGAGTTCCAGGACAGCTGGGGCTACAGGGAAACCCTGTCTCAAAAAGACAAAAAGAAAAAACCCCAAAACAAAAATACCTTCTTGATATTTTTTTCCATTCAAACCATCTCTTAGAAAAATCAAGATTTACTATTTATGTAAGTGTTCCTAATTTAGTCACTGAAAATACATGACTTAGAATAAGCAAGTGGATGAACATTAAATCTAGTGAAGAGCTTAGAATGTTTAATGGCCACTTAGTTCATTTCCCCCTCATTTAGGAGTTTTCTGACTTTGAATGAAAAGGACACTGTCAACAAGCGTCAGTGAAGGGGTGCCGCCTGCAGTGACCATAGGGACCTTTCACACACACAATGTGCATTGATACGAGGGAAGCTGAACATTCAGGTACAGGTTCTCCCACACTTGAATGTTCTCACAATCACAAGACATGGAGACAGTCGCCGTGCACGACAGCAGCAGTCAGCCACTCTCAGCCACAGGGTCCGAACAGGAAGTTAGCCAGCACACGACTCTGCAGCCAAGCAAGGTCCTAGACAAAAAGTCTCTTTTGTACAAAGAAAAATGTTTTACTTTTGTTTTAAAAAAAGGCTGTAACTGGCAACACTTTTCCCTCAATGCTTGCCCCAAAGCTCAGTGTTGTGACAGAAAGGCTCCTATTCCAGATGCCTACTGCATTAGTCAAGTCGAATGTGAACATCATTCATGCAGACGTACTTCCAATTCGAGATCTTATTTCCACCGATTTAAAAAATTTTTCTAAAGAAAAATGCGTGTTTTTTCAGACTCCACTCTCTTCAAAGGTTTTAAAAGCTGAAACCGAATTTTAATTTGATTTTGGGTCTAATGCAGGGCTCATCCCTCAGATGATGGTAAATTATATCACTAATACTAATAATGGTCAAAATTCTGACTCTTTTGCTCTCGTGCTTTTAACAGCAATTTAAAATGACATGCCTAAAAATGGTCTAAACCCTACACACAGCTATTTATTGTTCATCTGTAGCACAGGTGCAGCAGGACCAAGCGGACTTTGGGGTGCTTGGTCTGTCACTTCACTGCATGATCCTGACCAAGCCATCTCACCAATTTAGACCCTAGGATGCTCAACTGGTGGAAAAAAAAAAAAAAAGTAGCTTCCCTCCATGACTAGCCATGAAGGCTAAATGAGGTGATTTGTATGAAATACCAAGCACGGTAAAGGCTCATTAAAAGTTAACCACATACAGTATGTCTGCCAATGTCTTTACATGTTTTATAATACTTAGGAAAACATCATCCCTAATTCTGGAACTCTCAGGGAGTAACTGAAATTTAGCTTTGCTTGATGGAAAAAGGCATCTAAAGCCAAAAGGCTACAAGGGCCTACTCCAGAGTACAAGTTAGTGAAGAAGGAACTGGTTATTCCATTGGCATTTTAACTATAAATGTTTATTAAACCTTTGTTATTAAATCTTTTGAAAAATATTTTATTATTTTTATGTGTATGAGTGTATTGCCTGCGTGTAGGTAAGTGCACCTGTGTTGTGCAATGCCCTCAGAAGACAGAAGAGGCCATCGGATCCCCTGGAACTGGAGTTAGCTGCCATGTGGGTGCTGGGATTCAAACCTGGGTCTTCTGCAAGAACAACCAGTGCTCTTAACCGCTGAGCCATCTCTCCAGCCCAGTTATAAATATGTTTATAACAAAAAGCTTGCCTTCCTAGTCTATGTAGCATTTCTGTCATTCGAGTAAAATTTAGTAAATATCACAAATTTACTTTAGAAAAATGTGACTATCTTTTACTCAATCCAATTAATGAATTTTCTTTTCCCCCTTAAACATGCATCTCTCTGAAACCCAATAATAATGCTATGTATGTGTGCGTCGTGCGTGTGTGTGGTGCTGGGGAGTCAACCTAGGGCCTTATATGGGCAAACACTTTTCCACTGAGCTACAACTCCATCCCACAAATCATTCTTTTTTATTTTTATTTTTTGAGACAGGGACTCCCTATAGCCCCAGCTGGCCTGGAACTCACTATGTAGGCCAGGCTGGCCTTGACCCAGAATTCACCTGCCTTTGTGTCCCAAGTGCTGGAATTAAAGGCATGCACCACACCTGGTCCACAAATCATTCTTAAATCTAAAAATGCTTTATTTAATTACTGCTACATCTTGCTTAGTATGGTTTGGCTATAGAAAAGTAAGGTGGCTGGCAGCTGGGGCTAGAGACCCTGTCTCAAAAAGACAACAACAACAACAACAACAACAAAAGGTGTAGTTTCCCTAAGACTAAAGGGCTAAGGCATATATGAGACTAGCTGGTTTAGTGACAGTTCAGGACCAAGGTTCATGCTGGTGGCAGTGTTTGGAAAGGCCTGTATGAAACAGGACCAGTTCCTGTACCTCACCCTTCTCTGGAGTTTTAATGGTTAACAAAGTGTACAATTTCCTTTCCTCTTATTTTTATTAAGGTAGTCTACAAGTCACTTGCCTTGGCTCCCCTAGAGCACATCCAATCATCTGCCAAGTGTTTTTTCTCACAAATGAACAGGCTGACCTCCAGACTGGCCAAGAAACAGAGCCCCACTGGATTCATTTTCCATCATGTGTTTTTTTGTCTTTTTGAGACAGGATCTCCCTGTAGCCCCAGCTGTCCCGGAACTCACTATGTAGACCAGGCTGGTCTTGAACTCACAGAGATCCACCTGCCTCTGCCTCCCAAGTGCTGGGATTAAAGGCATGTGCCACCACGCCCGGCATCATGTGTGTTTTTTTTGCAAGAGAAATGTTACAATAGAGGCTGGATTGGAACACTTTCTTTAACTGCCTCTTTACAGTAACTCTACCCTGAATCTATACTAGCCAAAATAAAAATTTTGCTAAGTGAAAGGAAGAACAACAGATGTGCTCTTTTACAAAGGCTAATTCATATGTTCTGTGGAACTGAAGCCTACTCAGAATGTAAGGTTTCGATTACAGAAATCCTTTCTACTTATCTCCACTCTACTCAGCTGCATCCTAACTTTTGCTGACAGATTCAAGTGACTGTTTATAGCATGGCATTATACTTTGGCATTTTGTATCAGATTTGTTGTTCTGGGCTACATTAGCCACTATTTAGGAAAAAAATGACTCCAAGTTAGGATGTATTTTTAAAAATTTAAAAATATTTTATGAGTTGTCTGTCCAACCCCTAGAATGTATTTTAAAAGAACCAGAACCAAAATACATGTTGGGTGTGGTGGCGCATGCCTCTAGCCCCAGCACTCAGGAGGCAGAGTCAGGTGGATCTCTGTGAGTTCAAGGCCAGCCTGCTCTACATAGCAAGTTCCAGGCCAGCTGGGGCTACAGGGAGACCCTGTCTCAAAAGAAAAAACAAAAACAAAAACACCCCACAAAAGAATAGAATTATTTCACATGTCCTAGTCATTTTGTGAGCTTGCAAAGTTTCTATCTTTGAAAGTGAGCACATTAATTTCAAAGGCTATGATTTGGGCCACAAGATTTGGGCCACAAGATTTCAAAATCCACACAGTTTATGTTGTTATAGAGGAGTTAGGGGTCCTAATGTCATTGGTCTGATTTAAAATACTTTGTTAGATTGTTTATTCTTTCTTTTTTGCAGTGTTGGGGAATCTGACCCGGGGCATATGTATACTAGGCAAGTACCCTACCATTACGCTACATCTCCAGCCCTATGTTTTTATTTTTATTAAGACTGAAGTTTTCCTAATAAACCAGCATCCAAACTTTGTAGAAAATCCCATCCAGAACAATACCTCACACAGGGCTCTCAGATCTTTCCCAAACTTTTGTTAAACCCAGATCATACAGAAGGTAAGTAAGTTTTCTATCACTGAGTTACAAAACTCAGTCCTGTGGTTTTATCTGTAAACAATACAGGTCTTCCACTGACTTGTATTTTGGGTTTAGTGCCACAGTATAAATGGACCAGCACTTCCCCAGTAGTGTAAACCAACAAAGTACACAGCATTCTCTCAAATTCTTGGCAGTGGCTGGCCCTGCAAACTTAGGATGGCTTGCTCATTCGTTGCATATTTTGCTTTGTGATAGGGTCTTGCTGTACAGCCCTTGCTGGCTTGAAACTTACTATGTAAACCAGGGAGGCCAGGAACTCACAGATGACCCTCCTGTCTCTGCCTTCAGGATGCTGGAATTACAGGTGTGCACCGCTACACTTGGCTCCTCCCCACCCTTAATCACCCAATCATAGCTTAAACTCTAGGACAAGAAATCATAATTGCTAAAGGTCAGCTGACCTGTTCAATGCAATCTGGAACTAGCCTAGCTCTTATGGGCAAATTTCAGACAAATTTACATTAAAACACTGTAACTAGGCTCATGTTTTGGAGGTCAGTGGAAGCATACTTTCATATTGTTTTCTAAAGTCACTGCCTCTCTATATCAGTTATGTAAATGTAAATTAATAGGCTAAGTGCATTCTGGAGTTGAGGTGTTTCAAGTTCTACAGGCAAGGTTTTAAGTTTTTAACTTTTTAAAAATATTTTTGATTGTGTATGTTGGGGGGTGCCTGTGGAAGCCAGAAGTGGGTGTCAGATCCCTTGGAACTAGTTATAGGTTGTTGTGAATTACCCATCATGGGTGCTAGAAACCAAACTTAGGGCCTCTTGAAGAGCAGCAAGTGCTCTTAACCACTGAACCATCTCTCCAGCCCCAGTGAGCTTTTAACTTAAAACATTTTTTAACCACATTGTAATGTGTGTATGCACATGCCACAGTGAACATGTGAAGATCAGGACAATTTGTCACAGTTGATTCTCTCTTTTCACCATGTGGTCACATGGATCAAACTCAGGGTGGCAGGCACCTTTACCTAATGAAGCATCTTGCTGGCTGAGGTTTTAAATTTTTAAGTAATAGCCAAAGCTATGCTAAACAGGCCATTTAGTCCATTTACTAACCTTTATAGGAAACTGACAAATCCTAAGTAGAAAAAGGATTGGTCAGTAATTAGTTTCCATTTTAAGAGATGTCGGGGCAATAAAAGATTTGTGCCTCAGATCCCCAGTTACAGCCTCTTTCTCAACATTTTTCTTTTGTTAAGGTGCAAAAAACGTTACAGACTTGCCTTGTGAGGTCGAAAATAGAGATACAGGCTGAGAGGAAGAAACAAAGGAATCTGAAAGAAAATATACAGTGTGAAAATTTGACAACCTCACATGGGAATTTTAACTTTAATTTTCTTGGGGGGGGGGCAAGCATCATCAATTTCACTGGGCTGATTGGCCAAGGGAAGATTCAAACTTAAATTCCAATGACTGTTTTCACTCACCTGCTAGTGACACCTCATTTCACTTCCAGGATGCACTTCTAAAAATTCATCACATCAATCTCTTTTAGATACGCATCATCACCGTCAGGAGGAGAGGAAGCCCTACCTTTCACACAGCCTCAGGAGCAAAGGAGGGAAAAGCACCACTTGCTTTTAATCATTTTCAACTGCATTTTGAAGCATTGTCACTGATAAGAGTATTTAAAAATAACTGGCAAATACATAAATCTGACCCTCAATAATTTGAGAAAAATGACAATTCACTGGGCAAACATAACTCCATGAGAAATCTTTCATTTCGAAAATCACACTCCTCTAATTTGTCAACATGTAACAAAATCTAACACATACATAACATCCTTTCCTTCTGCTCCATAAACATATGTTGTAACTCAGTCACTAATGCTTCCAGGAATCCATCCTACATATGAACTTGCATGTATGTACAAGGGCATGTGTATAAGGCTATCCATCAAGGGCACTGACCTAGATATTAGAAATAATCTAAGTGTCCACCAATAGAAGACTAGTCAAAAGACAACACTGAAACAATTAATCTGCTGTACTGCAAAGAATGAAGTAAAGTGCTTGGTGCTTGCTGCCTACCGGCAGCTCAGCTATGCTGGAGGTTGAGGTGAGAGGATCATTTGAGCTCAGGGACCAGCACAGGAAACAGAGCTGAATTTCACCCCATTCCCTCCCACCAAAACAACAACAACAAAAAACATAGCTGCATGTGCTGATATTGCCTGCATGGTAAATTTGAAAAGCAAAATACAAAAGCATTTCCAGTGTGTGCCCATGTGCCCAACGCAATAAAAGGGACTAACAGAAAGAAGTCTGGGGAGAAACCCAGCAGAGTGGTGAGACTGTAATCCCAGCACCTGGGAGATAGAGGCAGGAGGATCAGCAGTTCAAGACTAGTCCGGCATACATGAGACCCGGGCTACACAACGCATGCACACACAGAGACACCTCTACTCCCTCAAAAGAAGTCATGGTAGTAGCATAGTAGCAGTCTGGGATGGAAGATGATTTGCTTTTCCGTATAACTTCTGGCACTTAAGGAAACAGAAACATGATCTTTTAAACAAAAATGCAAAAAACAAAATATCCATTATATCTATTAAAAAATTGTTCTGTAGCTGGGTGTGGTAGTGCTCGCCTTTAATCCCAGCACTCAGGAGGCAGAGGCAGGTGGATCTCTGTGAGTTCAAGGCCAGCCTTATCTACATAGTTCCAGGACAGCTGGGGCTATAGGGAGATCCCGTCTCAAAAAAGACCAAAAAAAAAAAAAAAAAAAAAAAAAAAAAAGTTCTGTAAGATGGCAAAAATAGCTCAGCAGTAGAGGCGCTTGCTTGCTTCTCAAGTCTGATAATCTGAGTTCATCTCAGAAGCCACAGTGGAGAGAACTGACTCTGGGAAGTTGTCCTCTGATGTCCACATGTATGCTCTGTCAGACATGTACCCATACAAATACACAGATACACACACAATAAATGTTTTAAAAAGTCCTGTAAAAAAGGAAGCACTCCCCAAAATCCTAAATACATAGGATTCATACATAACTCTTTTCTTTCAATTATGTTTCCACAAATATTAGACACGCTTAACACAAGAAGATTGCTTTAAATGATCAAGCAATAGCAGCATCTGTAAGTACTCATTTAGGAGAATTGTTTAGTAACAAATACAGAGCTTTATGTTAAGACCAAGGCAGAATTTGGTGGCAGTCACTCATTAGCTTAAGATCAGAATTTAAAACCCCACTTCTAAGTTACCTTAAGAGGAAGCATCACCTACATTCTTAAAACTTAAATCACTCAGGAATGGTGGTGCACATCTTCAGTCCCAAAACACAACTTAAGAATCACTCTCTATTCTATGTAGACCAGGCTGTCCTTGAACTCTGCCTCCTGGGTACTGGGATTAAAGGTGTGTGCCACTAGGCCCAGCTGCTCCCCACACCCTTTTTAAAAGAAAGCATCTCTTCATTTATTTATTTACGTATTTATTTGGTTTTTTTTTTTGAGACAGGGTCTCCCTGTAGTCCCAGCTGGGTTGGAACTCACTATGCAGATCAAGTTGGCCTTGAACTCACAAAGATCTGCCTGCCTCTGCCTCCTGAGTGCTGGTACTAAAGGTGTGCACCACCATGCCTGGCAAGAAAGCATCTCTTCAAGTTTCAAAACAGGGGTCTGGAGAGAGCTGGCTTAGCAGTTAAGTGCACTTGCAGAGGACTCTGGTCTGGTTCCCAGAACCCACATGGCAGCTAACAACTGTGATTAACTCCAGTTCCAGAAGATATGACACCCTCTTCTGGGCTCAGTGGGCACTGCATGCAAGGGTGCACTTACATGCAGGCAAAACACTCACACAGAAAATTAAAAAACTCTTTAAAAGTTTCCAGATGAGTTAATTTCTATATGGAATTACTATCAACATTAAATATGTCAACCAAGAAGTTTAAATCTGAACAAACAGCCAGGTGTGGGAGCACACACCGGGAATCCAAGAACTGAGGAGGCTGAGGCCAGATTGTGGATTTGAGGACAGCCTGAGCTATACAGTTGAGACCTTGCCTCACAGAATAAAAACAAAAATAAATGCATCTGACAAACTTGAAAAACAAACTCCTTTAAGTAAGCCCAAAGCAAAAAACTGTTCTAGGAACCAGCCAGCTGTCTGCCTTTTCATCTCTGCCAACATCTCCCACCCAATGGAAAATTCCACCTGTGCCAATTTTTATGCATAGCATCTGTTCTGATAGAGAACAGAGATAACCAGTAGTCTGACACATCTAAACCCTCCAATGCCAATGAAATCATTGTCCGTAAGTAGGTGGGTCTAAGCACTGCAGTACAGTGTCCAAGTAGCTGAAAAGGAAATCAGACTTGAATAGTGTGAGCTGTGGGAATGCAACAGGGGCAGCCACTAGGGCAACGAAGCTCTTTCCAGAAGAGACTGCAGTCTTTTCAGGTTAACGGGGTGGAGTATTCTGGAGGGAAGTCATTCACCGGATTCCAAATATCTTTAAACAGCATGCAATGAAACACTAGGAATCACTAAAGGGAATGGACACTGTTGCATATGGGGTTTGTTTTGGGGGCAGGCCATATGGAGACAGTCTCACTAGGCCTCCATCTCTGAATGCTGGGATCACAGCCATGTGCACCTCACCCAACTTTCACTCATGCTTTAGGAAGATCTCAGAAGATGAAACTGAAGAGCTCTTCCTGAAGTAAGGTACGATCGTGCTCTCTATAATCCCAGCACCCAAAAGACTGTGCTCTCTATAATCCCAGCACCTCACACAGTCATCAACTGGGTGAGGCAGAATGGACAGAACCTGGAATATTCTGATTATTTCTGCTAGCAACTGCAGAAATAAGAGTCAAAGATAAGTGCCAAAGAGGGTATGGTGGTGCTCAGCTGTAATGCACAAACTTGGAAGGCAGAGATCACCCTAAGTCTGAGGTCAGCCAGGACTATGTAGCAAGACCCTGTCCCGAAAACAACAAATCCCCCCAAAACTACCGAAGGACTAAATGAATGTCAGCAGTGAGAATGAGAGAATGCCTTATAGCACACATTTCTTATTCATGCATATTCTGCGTCTGTCTGTTTCTGTCTCTTTCAAGGTTTGGTTGTGAGCCTGAGCCTTTAATGGCTGTGCCAGCTCTCTAGCCCTCTTTCAAGGTATGAAACAGTATCTCACTGTGTTATCTCAGGCTGGCTTGTAATTCGATACAGCCTGGAAATCAGCAGGTAGTCCAGGTTAGACTCAAAATCACCATTTTGAGTCTAAGTGTTAGGATTATAGACATGCACCACCACAACTGGTTTATGAGGTGCTGGGGATCAAACCCAGGGCTTCTTGTATCCTAGGTAAGTATCAATTAAGTTACATCCCCTGGCCCCTAATGCTCTTTTCGTGTGCCAAAATCCCATGCAGGAGATCACATCACATTTTGTCATATCTCCCCATTAGCCTCAGACTATGACAATTTCTCAGACTTTCCTGACTTCTAATGATCTTGATGGCTTTTTTCCACACATGCACGCTCATGTGACAGCATGTGGGGGCCAAGGGTGAAGTCGGGAGTCTTTCTCTACTGTTCTTCACCCTTTAAAATTTTATTTTTATGTGTATGGGTGTACTGCAAGTATGTGAGTACACCCATGTCGTGCAATGCCGGGGAGGTCAGAAGAGGGCTTCGGATTCCCCTCGAACTGGAGTTAAGGACGGTTCATAGCTGCCATGTGGGTGCTGGGAATCGAACCCGGGTCCTCTGCAAGAGCAGTCAGTGCTCTTAGCTGCTGAGTCATCTCTCCAGTCCCTCACCCTTGTTATTTTACCACTGAGATAAAGGGTCACTGTAACCTTTGAAGGTAACCTTTGAAAGGTATTGTGCCAGTATGACTTGCCAGTGATGATGCAAGCCTGGCTTAGGCTTCGTCTGCAAAGTTTTTCCAAGGCAGTGCTGCCTACCCCCTATCCAAATCCCTAACCTGTATATATGCAGCTCAGAGAACAACTTTTGAGAGTCTGTTCTCTTTCCACGATGTAGGTCCTGGAGATAGAACTCAGGTCATCAAGCTTTGAGAGAAGTGCCTTCACCAGCTGAGTCATCTTGTCAGCCCTAAACCGGAAAGTTTATAAAGTATTTTATTTATTATTAATTTTTTTTAATGTGTGTTTTATCTGTATGGATCTAAGTGCATCTGTGTTGTGCAATACCCAAGAAGGCCAGAAGAGGGTGTGGAATCCTCTGGACTGGAGCTATGGATGGTTGTTAGCCACCACGTGGGTGCCGGGAACCAAACCTGGGTCCTCTGTAAGAGCA